TTTTTTATTTATTTTTTGATCGTGTTGTACGTTTTAAAATCATTAATTTGGTGTATTTTAAAGTTGTCAGACGTTTTGGAACATTTTCAAAAATTGAGCAGAAAAAAAATATTGGTATGCGTGGGCGTTCTCTTCCAAACTTTTTCTGTAATAAGTATATAAAATGAATTAAAAAAAAAACATATCATAAATAATATTACTATTGATATTAATAATAACATTTTTCGACGATACTATTTTTTTAAGATATTTTCTTAATAAAAATTATTCAGAATATTTTTTTTAATTTTTGAGAACGACATCTTCAATTTTATAAAATTCGAGTTCTTCTAATTAAATCAGAAAAATTTGTCCAGTGAGAGTTGATTAAACTTTGAATTTAAGCTAAAACTACTTAATACACTTATAATATGCGAGTCTATAGACGCGAATAAAGTTAAATGTTTTGAGAATGTTAAATTAATTTGTCTCCCGCGATCAAAAAATTTATCTATATCATCATTTCCTTAGTATTCATCCCAATTATTTGTGATGGATATTAAGTATTAGTTTGAATTCGGCACTATCTTGTTGATTTGACGGGATTTTTTGATTGGTTGCCGACATGACGCAAACATATTAAATCTGAGAGAACCAGTAAGAAGACAAGGTCAGTGTCACTGTTAAATTTCCCGTAGGGTTACCCATCTTGGAACTAACAAAGAACAGCGCAGTTGAACATCAGCGCTAAGGCGGCGTCTGAATGATATCCTGCGCCACACCATGTCCCTATATAGAAACATATATATATATATAATTTTTTTTTATTTTTCAGAAAGTAGGGAGACTAAACTTAACCTAATCACTTCCCTCTCCCAAAAAGAATCAAGACTATGGGTAAACTACAAAATTATAGCCTTTGAAATATATAGTAAATAATTATCATTAAAAATAAATCGATATATTTTAATGTTCTAATTTATAACCTATTACATAATTTTACATACAGACATTAAAATGTTTAAGAAAAAAAAAAGATCGATTAGCCATTAAGGCTTGTTATGTATTCTACAGTTCATAAGATAAATGATTACTATAAATATTTTAGAATAGTTCAAAATCGTCAATTTACTAGACATTTTTTTTAAAGGAAAAAGCGAAATCCTCCGAACATTGATAACTTAAAATATTACAAAAATTATAAAATAAACGTTTAACTAACTAAAATCTAAAATAAAATAATTCATTCAGTTGATATAAATAAACAATTACTTTAAAGACAACATATAGTATTTTATTCTAGTGTAAAAAGCAAGCATTTTACACTACTGTAACTATTTTGTTGGCTTAATGTGGTTTTTTTACAGATAGTTTTCCCAATATTTATTAGAATGGCTAACGGTACTTTACATTTCTAACATAAATCAGTTTCCAGTTCCGTAAATGTGTATAATAAATATTTCTCTTCTCCTATGTTCAACAACATGATTTATTTATGTTTTTGTTCTCTACTCTGTTTTAACTGAAAAATTATATCTCTGTAATACATTTATATTTGCATTATACTGTATTATTCTAATTATTTGATCAAGTTTATAACAAACTCAATACATATATCAAAAAATAAATTTTTATTTCTATCACATTAATATATTTGTACAGATAATTAAAATTTTTTTCATGTAGTACTTCTTAACAAATGTAAGCAAACATTGCTATAATAGCCATTTATTAATTTATATTTTAAATGCGTAGTGTTTATAAAGTATTAATTTATCCGTATATTTATTTAACAGCGAAAATAATTAAATTATTATAGATGTTTAGTTACAAAAAAAGTGTGAAAAATATTGGAGACTGACACTAAAAGCGTAAAACACCATCCAAAATGAGAATTGGAATTTAAGTGCTAATGTATGAAGAGATCGAAACGTTAGTATTCGTGTCGAGGATATTCTCAATTCAAGTCCTCTGACGCCAACTTCAGTAGATCCTCATGATCTACTAATTATATTAACCACTGGCTATTTTTCAATAAACCAACCTATTCTATCCTTACCTGAAACTGACGTTACTGTACTACCCTCGAATCGTTTAACGCGCTAGCTACTAATCCGACAAATGCACCAACAGTTTTGAAAACATTGGTGAATATTAGACGAATCTTCAAGACCGACTTCAATGGACAAAAAAGGAAGAAAATATTAAGATTGGAGATCTCGTCATCGTTAAAGCTCCGAATCGCCCATCTACCGAATGGAAAATGGGCCATATAATAGCAGTTCACCCAAATGCAGCTCAAATAGTGCTTGGGCTACCGTTCATTCCAGAGACTAGTAGCGAAATTAGTCAAACTACCAACGATCAATATATCTCACATGTTTCGTATTTTATCCTGCTTCTTCATGTTTTCCTTAGTGGTTCATTAAAATAAATGCGTACATAGGTGTTATTTTAGTTTTAAGATAGATCTAAGTTTTAAATTTCAATTGATTATGTCGAGAAGTTTGTCTTGAAAACCTTTAGCTTTCAACGTCAGGAGTATGTTGGATATGTAGTTACGAGAGGGCGTTTTTTACGGATTTTGTGATGACTGGCAACGTCTTTTGCATTACCGCCACCGGTTGTGCGAGAAAAATCATCGGTATAATCGATGTATGTTCCTGTTTTTTGTAACGGACAATAGTTATGATAGACAAATAAGAGTAAGATTTCATCAAATCTTTAAAGAGGTATTTTTTACAAAAAATTTTTTTTTATAAAAAATATTGTAAAATTTTATAATTTAAAATTGCCTCAATATTATTAAAGTATGGTTGAAAAATTTTTATATTAAATAAAGATAATATCATGTCACAAAAATATAAATTCAATAAGTCACTTTTTCAATTTAAGCAAAAATAGAATTTTATAACTATGATCATTTTACCCTAAACAAGAAAGATTTTGGCAGTCTGAACTCTAATTCAATCTAGTTTTTTACCTTATTATATATGTAGTAAAAATTCAGAGTAAAAAAAATGTTGTATTATACTCGTCACTATTATAATATGAAATAACAGTGGGCTATTCGTGTGTACAATAATAGTTTTTCATTTGAGATTATTAACGCTTATTTAGAAATTATATTTATATGCTTAAAATAACATGATTGTTTTTAAATAATTAACTCAGAGAAATACTTAACAAACACATACTGTCGTTTAATTATATTATATTAAACACAATTCAGTCATGAGTCATGTATATATGATTCAAAAGTCATGAACTATATAATATACATTATATTATATTAGTCACCTTTAAAAATCACTCTTTAAGAAATTCATAAATTATACTTGTCAGCTTTTTTTACTCTTATCTTAATAAATAAACACTATGTATCAACCCTAGTCTTAAATGTAAAAACAAACTATATTAACGTTATATAAAAATAATTTGTATATACCCACATGTATTAATTTATATATTTTATTTCTTTTATGTATTAATTTATATATTTCACATTTTATGCTTACTTATCAATAAACGATAACACTACAAGAATGACACAATGATGATTGTTTGGGGATACAAAATACTATAAAAGGCAGAGTAATCCTTCTCAGTGAGTGCTGAGGGCTTGGGGCAGTCTGTCTCCAGATATTCAAAGAACTGTTATATTGCGCTTTTGACATCGATACGTAAAGTTTGTAATTATCATTGTCGAAATTCTCACGTGTTATTTTATGAACTAAACATTTGAGTTCGTGTTATTTTGTTATTACTTGATACTATTAAAAGTTATAATAAGAACAAAGAAAAATGATCAGGTAAGATTTCAAATCAATAAGAGTCTATATTTATTATATTATATTATAACTCAATTCTTTAGAATTAATAATCTGAGTACATAACGATAAAGCAATAGATCAAATATTTATATTAATCTTTAAACTTCAATTAATTATTACTGACTAGTTTGTACCTTATATAAAATCACATTACATTACATATCCTCGTTGCTCACCAAATGACCAAATCCCCAAACAAACATAAACTTGGTCAATATACACGACACCCCAATATCACCTATGTCACATCATCTTTATTTTTGTATTATTACAAAAGAAATACGCAAATAAAAATCGTGATATTAAAAAGCAACTTAATTATTAATTTTACCTATGATATTTATAATATTTTAGATCATTAATAAGAAAATAAAACGCGCACTGTTAGTATACCCTCGAAGGGTTTATAAATCGCTTTATTTTTAAATGTAGGACAATCCAACGCATTATTAAGCCTTCCATTTGACTTTGAAGAGACCCATAAAGCATTAAACTATAGCGTTGCCACATAAAATAAAGTTATTGGTTTTCGTCAAGTAACTAGAAAATATTACAATTATCTTACACTTGAACGGATAAGTATGAGATAATAATTTGTAAAACGCAGTAGTTTTCGTCTTTTAACAGTATTTATTGTAATTGAATTCCTAGTTATCTAAGAAAAATCCATAAAACAACGTTTTATGTAACAAAGCAACAGTTTATTGCATTTTGCAGTCTATTCAAAATCAAGAAAGATACTAAAATATTAAACTTAAGTATGAGATTTTTTCCAAAATAAGTGAAAACTTAGCAATATATATACAATAAATATTAAAAGAAATCAAATAGCTAAGATAACACAAAACATTTGTTATAATAAGTCAGATTTTTAAAAATTGCATTTGTGGTGATTTAATTATTTATTATGATAAGTTAAATTAACTTATTATCATATTAAATTAAAGTGATGAAAATCAAGTACTGTCGAGAGTTCCGAAACAGGTAGATAACAGTAATAGAGTCGACATTAATCAGTAACTACAGTACTAGAGCAATTTACTTAAACTTCTAGAGAATACCACTGCTTTACCTTATAGCTTTTTAGGTTCTATTGTTATTTATTTATTCAAGTTCATTTAGTTAATAAAACTGTAATTGATTAAAATTGATGTAATAAATATATATATTTATTCAATTCATTCTTACCACTTCTTCGAGGCGATTTGTATAGGCAAAATAGGTACAGGAATGTGTTCTAATGTTTACATTGCATACTTATTAATGATACAAATGGAATCATCAACTTGCATAAACATGATCTGTTACTTTAATTCGTTCTAGAACACACATTATCGTTTAAATGATTTATGAAACTTAATGAATATAATAAAATATTTATTAAAATATCATTTATTCGAATATTAACACTACAGTATATATTACTTATACGACAATCTAAGAATTTAAAAATTACAGTCGATATTTTTTTTACTTTTTAAATTAAGTCCTCTAAACACAAACAGATTTCTTATTCATCAAATAAAGATATAACATTATCTAATGCCAAATTTTCTTACATATTAATTCTTTACAGGGGAATTATTTAAGTGTGCCTTAAAAATTATCTTTAGAGTATAACTAAATTTTCTCTACATTTTTATTAATAATTTTAATTATAAATATTAAAATGGATATAGGAACAACTTTCTAAAGTATGCTATAAATAAATATGATATAGAGTAAGATTTTTCTTTGGTTACTAATATGTGAGAAAATACTTTTGTTATGTCTATTGTTTAGAATAATTATTCTAAAAATGATACAATATATTATTTAAATTATAATATATTCTTCTTCTTCCTCGCCTTAATCCCAACTACTTGGGGTCGGTCATAAATTATAATATATTAAATTCAAAATAATTTAGGTTTGAATTTTAATTTTTTTAGTAGTTTAGTTCAAAATAATTAAATGATATACACTAACAAAAGGTTGTAAATAAAAATAATTGACTATAAGTATTCTAGACTGGCTGTATGAGTACTAATTAGTTGCTGACTCGTATATCATTATTATAATGAGATTATGAATAAGATTTAAAAAAATATAGTAAAATTACCTGTTAAGTTAAAAATTCATCGGTGAAAACATCTTCAAATTTTGATTTTCTTGTTGAAAGAAATTCACTTTTTGAATTGAAGCGAAATAATTTGCTTGGATATTAGGTTATAAAATGGAAAAGCCTGAAAAAATCAATTAATAATAACCGTTAAAATTATTACTCATAAAGTATAGGGTACATTCGTTATTTTTTTCCATTGAAAAACGTTTATAGAATCTGTAATAATACAGTTCAATGAACGTTTACACAGTATTGATAGAAATTTGAGCTATAAATATTTCATAGACCTAAAGAAAAGTTATAATAAATTCAAAATCGCAAAATTAATTTACATTGGGTTTATGTTACATGTTGTTTTTATCATTATTATAAATAAACGGTCTTAAGCAACACGAGAGAATTAATATTTTACAAAAAGTTTTCCCATTGGGTTGTTTTGGGATGCCTTTAAAAAAAGGCTACTTTGTGTAATAAGACATTTTAATTATTTTTAACACATGCTTCAAATCTCTAGACACCTTAGTCAAATTAAATTAACTAATCCTATACAAACTATAAATTTTCTATACCATACATGTAAATTACCATAGTTTGTTAACACGTGGGTGTTTAATATTTTCATTAAATTTATATTTAATAGATGACATTAATGATGCTTATAAAATTTAAATAGTTACATAGTATCTATTTATTACTGTATAAATTCATCATTAAATAATCTTTTATGACTATTATAATTAAGAATAAAACTTTTAATCAATAAAAATTTGAATTAATTGTTTTAAATTCAATTTTAATATAAAATAGACTGAATATATTTACGAGTTTTCTTAATTTTTGTTGTTTTAATCTAAATTTTATTTAAAATTAAATTGTATGTAGGTAAAAGTTAAGAAACAACTCTTTAATAATTAATATTACATGACATCTACTAAATAAATAAATAGATACCACATGATAAAAATTTTCATTTTTCATAATATATGATTTAATAAATTATACATAAAATTAGATAACAAGTATTCTAACTTTAACAACAATTGTATAATTATGGTAGGTATTGTTATCTGGTACTTTTAGAATTTTAGTATTATTCATGATATTTAAAGTTTATGTTCAAAATGACGTTGCATTAAAAAATATAACTAAAAGATAACTAGCTATGGTTGAGTACTTTTTTATTTTACCTTAAACAAAACTTTATATTTTACGAGATATAAAACAAATGAAATATTCCGTACACAAATTTCCTATAAAATTTATCTCACAAATGTGTTCTTGTTTATGTAAATATATGAAATAGACAAATAAATTAAAAGAATCTTGTAAGTAAATCAAATAGTACTTCATTTAGTTTTGGAAACACAGTAGCTAAAAATAAATCATAAATATTTATTACTACAGATCTTGACACATACAAACTTGAACTTCAGTTTCAATTCATCGCTAAGGTTTTTGAAAATTTATACAATTGTACAAGAAAAACTATTTGGAACACCAATATCCATTTAAGTTTAATCCTCTTAATGTGATTCAAACACATTCTATTTCTCTCTCCTATTTAATTCATTTCTTCTCAATCTAACAAAATTACTTTGAAAATTAACACGTTCCAAGATTCAGATACTAATTTCAACACACTGATGTGTTCACGGTCTTTTGATGTCCATAAAACTGAATTAATTGAGACCAGCCAGTGATATTTCTTTTGGGGATATTTTTTTTTAATTTAAAACAAAAAATACATTTACTTTTGAGCCTTGAAGTTACTCTATTAAATTTATTTTAAATTTATAACAGCTAAAATTATTAACATTTTATTATTAAATATTAAAAATTAGAAGTAAGTATTATAAATGACACTTAACAGAATTACTCTCAGTGTATTTTATACACTGATTTAAATTAAACTAAAAATAAGATATCATGACACAACAAAAAATAATTTAGGTGTTTTTACTATTCGAACATTAAAACCAAGCCACTGTTTTTCTCAAATAGATCTAAACTTATTATGTAAAGTATATATATATATATAATTACATCTTATATAAAATATAGTCATCCTTATTTAATTGTATATTATCGTTATTATTAGTTAAACATTTTTTCTATTGCCATTTACGAAACATTATATCGAGTATTGATTTTGATAGCCTGAAATATTTAGAATTTAATATGCTGTATTCAAATATATTTAAAATGTTTATTGTTTGTTATATAATATTAAATAGTGAATATGTATTCGAAAAATAAATAACAGTTTTTTTTTTTCTTGAATTGAGATCAATTTAATTATTTAAAAATTGAATATGATTATATTAGATTGTACCCTATTATTTTGATTCTTTACATTTTATTTAGAAATTCTGCAAATGACCGTAAGCGTTAGATTACCAAATTATTTATCACAAAGTACATAATGTAATTGCTATGCACGTATCTACTAGGACAAACAAAATACTATAACTATGTTAATTCTGTATTGCATCATAACTCTAATAGTCACTAAAGCTGCATAATTTTCGATAAAGCTTCCGCATTTCAATATTATACAAATCTGCATTAGTATGGAAATTATATTATACCAATGTTTTGTACTGTTGTGTAATACTATCAGCCTATTTTCGGCAAAAGATATAGATATCCCTTTCAAGTAAGGAAACGCCCCGGTCAGCCAATAAAGTTTTATGTTCACGATGCCACAACATCTTCATCGTATCTCCGAACATTCGCTGTTATGTTTATGTTCAAATAAACAGCACACCTTGAATTTGGTTGTAAGCATATCCATGAAAATAAATTTCAGTCATCAGAATTTAGTGTTATGATTGTATTGATTGACTCTTATTATTTAACTGTACTCTATCTCATGAAATCAAATTGATCTTGAACTAAATTAAATCAAAATTTGTCATTAATTTAACAACATTTAGTTTTATTGTTTTTGTTTTTTTAATATATTCATTTATTATTATTAAATGTTTAAAAAGACTAAAAATAATCTAAACGTGACATTGTACTTATTTTACGTGTAGAAAGTAATAAAATGAAATACGTTTGATCAAAATTTGAGAAAAGTAATTTTAAAACATTTTTGTAATTCAAGGCATAAGTCGAAAACCTTTTCATTCCCGTTTGACAATGGTCTTGGTCTCCATTTTACAATAAAAAAAAAAAAGCACTAAACATGTGCTCAGAAGGGATCATGGTACTAGACGATATTGACATCGGCGTAGTTTGGGTTTAAATAAGTCACGTATAGGTTAAAGTATGATCATTTTATGTTATAGAAGTACAATGTAGTCAGTGAGACGACCGTGCAGTTTATATAAGGTCTTACAGGGCTTATTTCAAATAATTGCTACGAAGAATTACAAAGAAACCCAAGACAGGATCGAGGGCTTACACTCAAACTATACCTTCAGCATAAACATAACTATTATATTGTAACGTGTAGAAGTGCATGAATACGAATATGTTATGCAAACAATAAATTATTATTGCACTTCTCTTAGAATCTCTTTTCGGTAAAAAAATAGAGCCAATAGGATGTTCCCTACTTTAATCGAATATACAGTATGTCAAGCAGCGTCCACACTATGCCGAATTATGTCGATCGACACAGTCAAATGTGTACGTGTCGCCCGACTTGGTCGAAACATGTCAAGTCGAGTCGAACGCAACCCCAATCAAGTCGGTACAGATCAAAGAGAATCGATTTAAAAACAATAGTGTGGACGTGTCAAAGCATGTTGCTCGAATTTTTAGATACAGCTAATGTTATTGTATATTTTGTTATCATAACTTTATACTTTTAAAAAGAAACTGATATAAACATTTTAATTCTATTTAGTTTTGTTTTGCTGAGTGAATTTATTTGATTTTTAGTTTTATTAATTCAGATTTATCATTCATTCATGAAAAATTGGAGTGATGAATAAACAATTTCTTTTATTTAAATGTATAACAACCCCAATTATAATTGCAACAGCTGCCACTGCAATATCTTCTGAATCACTCATTTTATAGGTGATTAATAATAATCAATAACTTTGAATATATTAATAATAATATTATAAAATAAAAAAGTATTTGAGTAAAACACACTCGATATTCGTGTAGGTACAGTTATGTCATTCGACTAGTCCACCACACATAGGTGAACAAGTTGAAAGTCGACTGTGTCAATCAACATCATTCGGCATAGTATGGGCGTGGCTTAAAGAAAATAAGGGAACAAGTTAATTTTTAGAATTATGGGAACAAAAGAAACCTTGTTCCTTACTTACTTAACACCCTATAAATTATACAGAGTGTCCCACCATTTTTAACATCTTTAATAGTTATTAACCTCGAAAATATTTTGCGACATTTTTTCTAATAATAATTTTGATAGTTTTGAACTATGTTAAAATCGTGTTTTTATTACTTTCTCTAATGGGAAAAATAAAAACAAATTTTTTTGAAATTTTAAACAGCCATTGATAGCCATTTTATTCCAGGACTTATATCGAAACTATTCACTATGTTTTTATGTTATAACAGCGGAAACGTTTATAATATTATTATGTTATACGTTTTTAATAATTTAAACATTATGAATTTATAATGTTTTTCATTTTGCAGTATTTAAACAATTGTTTAATTTAAAAAATATAAATGACATTATCGCGAAATGTAAAATATCAATAAAGTTTTAAACCAAAAAACGTTATTGATTTTTATATTTTACATTTTGCTATAAACCTTATTGATAACTTTTTTACCTTTTGATTCCAATCGTTTCCAAACGTTATAATTATAACATTATGAAAACGACATGAAACCCAACGGTTTTAACACATCAAACTTTTTTGTCTCTCTACTTTACTCACAAAAAAATTGATGGGTCGATAACAACTTTAAGATAAGTACTTATTGAGATATAAGCATTTTAATACATATAGTGGGTGTGTAGCGCTGGTGGTTGTAGGTCATACTGTATGCGTATACTTCACCCGCGTTCTATACACACTCTATGAATAAAAATGCTTGTAACTCCACTTATTGAAACAAGAAGTTTAGAATCATAAGTTAAAGTTATTATCAACAAATTTTTTTGTAAGAAAAGAGAAAAAA